ACTGGACGCTGCCGAGAAGGTCGGATACCCCATTATCGTTCGTGCTGCTTATGCGCTCGGTGGTCTCGGTTCAGGTTTCGCGAACAACCCAGAGGAGTTGAAGAACTTGTCAGCTCGTTCCCTCACACTTTCGCCCCAGATCTTGGTCGAGAAGTCCCTGAAGGGTTGGAAGGAGGCCGAGTATGAGGTTGTGCGCGACGCAAGCGACAACTGCATCACGGTCTGCAACATGGAGAACTTCGACCCTCTTGGTGTGCACACCGGTGACAGTATCGTTGTTTCGCCCAGTCAGACATTCAGCGACGAGGAATACCACATGCTCCGGTCCGCGTCCATCAAGATCGTCCGTCACTTGGGAGTCGTTGGCGAGTGCAACGTGCAATACTGCCTGCAGCCAGATGGTCTCGACTACAGGGTCATTGAAGTCAACGCTCGTCTTTCTCGTTCATCTGCGTTGGCATCCAAGGCCACAGGTTACCCTCTCGCGTACACTGCGGCCAAGATTGGTCTCGGACACACTCTCCCTGAGTTGCCCAACGCCGTCACCAAGACAACCACAGCAAACTTCGAGCCTAGCTTGGATTACGTCGTCACCAAAATGCCCCGATGGGATCTCAGCAAGTTCCAGAACGTCAAGCGCGACATTGGCAGTTCCATGAAGTCTGTCGGTGAAGTCATGGCCATTGGACGTACATTCGAGGAGTCTTTCCAGAAGGCTTGCCGCCAAGTCGACCCCAAGTACCTCGGATTCCAGGGCGAGAAGTACGGCGAGAGCCTGGACGAAGAGCTCAAGAACCCCACCGATCGCCGATGGCTCGCTGTCGGTCAGGCGCTCTTCCACGAAGGCTACACTGTCGACAGGGTTCACGACCTCACCAAGATCGACAAGTGGTTCTTGCACAAGCTCCAGAACATCGTCGACTGCACACACGAGCTTGAGGAGATAGGCAGCCTGTTCGGCCTAAAGAAGGAGATCATCCTCAAGGCCAAGAAGCTCGGTTTCTCTGACAAGCAGATCGCCAAGGCCGTTAACAGCACTGAAGACGAGGTCCGCGCTCGTAGGAAGAGCTTCGGCGTCAAGCCATGGGTCAAGAAGATTGACACACTCGCTGCAGAGTAAGCAATATCACTATTTTAACACCATGCGAGACATATACTGACTTCATTACCATAGATTCCCAGCCGATACCAACTACCTTTACGTGAGTATACTGTCCTCTTTCATGGCTTCACGGAATTTGAAGATTCCCGCGGATTCAAGTCTAAGCATTTGAACATGCGACAACCCTTTCATCTGCCCCATCGCAGTTGCTGACCTACAATTTTAGACTACCTACAACGCCTCCTCTCACGATGTCACCTTCGACGACCATGGTATCATCGTTCTGGGATCGGGTGTCTACCGTATCGGAAGCTCAGTCGAGTTCGATTGGTGTGCCGTCAATGCTACCCGCTCCCTCAACGAGCTCGGAAAGAAGACGGTCATGATCAACTACAACCCCGAGACATACTCTGTAGGTAGCATGAACGCATATATTGGGTCTAGCTAACTGTTACGCAGACTGATTTCGACGTTGCCGACAAGCTGTACTTCGAGGAACTCAGCTACGAGCGTGTTATGGATATTTACGAGTTGGAGACCGCTAGCGGTGTCGTTGTCTCTGTTGGTGGACAACTTCCTCAGAACATTGCTCTCAAGCTTCAAGAGTCTGGAAAGGCAAAGGTTCTTGGAACTGACCCTCACGACATTGACAAGGCCGAGGACCGCCACAAGTTCTCTTCCATCCTTGACTCTATCGGTGTTGACCAGCCCGCCTGGAAGGAGCTTACTTCGTACGAGGATGCGAAGAAGTTCGCCAACTCTGTCGGATACCCAGTTCTCGTTCGCCCATCATATGTCCTGTCAGGTGCTGCCATGACAGTCATCCGCGGTGAGGACGAGCTGAAGGAGAAGCTCCTTGCCGCTTCCAACGTCTCGCCCGATCACCCAGTCGTCATTACTCAATTCATTGACGGCGCTCAAGAGATCGACTGCGACGCTGTCGCCTCCAACGGAAACGTCCTCGTCCACGCTGTCAGTGAGCACATTGAGAATGCCGGTGTTCACTCCGGAGATGCCACCCTCGTGTTGCCCCCTGTCCACCTCGACAAGCGCATCCAAGAACGTGTCAAGGAGATCGCAGACAAGGTTGCCAAGGCCTGGAACATCACTGGTCCCTTCAACATGCAGATCATCAAGGAGGAAGTTGAGGGCTCCGAACCTAACCTCAAGGTCATCGAGTGCAACCTCCGCGCCTCTCGATCCTTCCCCTTCGTCAGCAAGGTCCTTGGTACCAACTTCATCGAAGTTGCCACGAAGGCTCTCGTTGGCCGTGACGTGCCCGAGCCAACTGACCTCATGAGCGTTGAGAGGAACTACCTCGCCACAAAGGTTCCCCAGTTCTCCTGGACTAGGTTGGCGGGTGCTGACCCCTACCTTGGCGTAGAGATGTCATCTACTGGTGAAATGGCCTGCTTCGGCAAGGATCTGATCGAGGCCTACTGGGCTTCCGCGCAATCGCAGATGAACTTCCGTCTTCCCCAGCCCGGCGAGGGTCTCCTCTTCGGTGGTGATGTCACACCCGGTTCGCTCCACGCGAACTCCCTCATCTCGATCGCCAAGTACGTCCACGCACTTGGCTACAGGTTCCTTGCTGCCAACAAGGATGTCAAGGAGCTTCTGGAGAAGAACACCGAGGGCATCAGCGTTGACGTTATAGAATTCCCTAAGGATGACAAGAGGAAACTCCGTGAGGTCTTCGAGAAGAACGACATCCGTGGCTGCTTCAACCTGGCCAAGTACAGGGCGAGTGGCTTGTTTGACGAGGACTACGTAATGAGGAGGAATGCGGTCGACTTCGGTGTTCCGCTATTCATGGAGCCCAAGGTAAGTTCATCATTCTGATCTTCATGAAATGAAAAGCTAACTTAAATGTAGACTGCCGTTCTGTTCGCCCAATGTATGAGCGAGAAGCTGCCCAAGAAGGAGGGTATCCCCAGTGAAGTCAGGTCATGGAGCGACTTCGTTGGCGGTCGACCGTAGAGAAAGAACCTTCTTGGTTACTACGGCAATGTTGATGTTTTATCGGAAAAAGGAATGGTTCATTGTAAGAGATATATCCAGATGTAGGGTCGGGTGGAATCAAGATCTTGGGACAGGATGGTCGGGATGAAGATTATGTTCTCATGTGTATAGCGTTTCCAGCTTGTGATCAGCTCTATGGTTCGGTCAGCGGGAGTTGTATCAGTTCCTTTTACTTTCAATCTACTTGAAAAGTTTACCACTCATGTGGCCAGGTACTCGAGGATGAATTTAGTTCTACTCCAGTCCGCTGATCTTTGTAGGTGTTGTTCTGAAGTGGATGAATGTTCGTGATACTGCCATCCTATAAAAAGGGAAAATCGAAAGCCCACTCCCTTGGAGTCTACATTACCTTGGAAGTTTCCTAACTTTAGTTCTTATACTAGTTTATACAACAGCGCACCTGTTCATTTCTTTATTTCATGAGTCGCTACGAGAAGGCTGTGCAGCGTTCCACGTTCTTTTGATACACGAGGACGATCATATGGGATTTTGTCGATAGTCCGATTGCATTAACAAGCTGGTATACTAGCTTGAGTCCTTATATCCAGCCATATCTCGCTTATTTTAGCAGACGTGAAGGTTCTAAGAGGCTCTAAACGGCAAGTGCAAACGTCCCAGAGTGAAGGTAACTAGTCCTGGCACTATCTCTTACCTGTTCTCTTCCATCTCCACATCTACTTCCTCTGCATTTTCACACACTCATCCATCAAAGCGCGCCAACGCTACACCGACGACATGGTGACTTACTACGATACCATCATCGATCCGTCGCGCGAGATACTTTCTAGCGAAGCCGCCGAAGTCATGTAAGCTCAACGTAGCACGGCGCCTGATATGGAATTATGAAATTTCTAGCTCCGAGGTCAACCGCCAGCGCTCGCCGCTTCTTTGCCTTGCCTGCTGAGCTGCGAAACAGGATCTACGGATACGCTCTTGGTGGTATGGAGCTTTGCATCGTTCATCGGTTCTGGAGGCTACACCGCTTTTCTACAGTGTCTGTTGAGACGCCCTACATTGAAGTTCCCCTCCATCGGCTCGTTGGCTTAATACTTGTATCTTGGCAGCTCCACGCAGAAACTAAGATTCTACCATTCGAACTATGCACGATGCGTGCCCAGGATTTCACGTTGGAACACCAAGTGTAAAAACCGAAAATCACTCAGCTTCAGGCCATAGCAACCATACGTGTATTTTACCTGGTCGTTGATGGTGGCGAAATATGGAAGCTCGGCCCAGCGGTCAAGTCACTGAAGGGACTAAAGCGCGTGGTAGTTTTCTGCTGTCCAAATTTTCAGCTATCGAAGCGTAGAAATTTAGTCGAGGCTGTCAAGAAGGATCTCGGTCGAGTTGATGTAGACGTCATGCTCGATTTTAGGAAGTGAAGTCTTCGTCCCACCTGTCCTGCACGAGGTCGTCGAAGACAGGAATCCATACGACCCCAGCAGGCGAATAACACATCAATGATCACGGTGATGTGGCAAATATTGGAGCAACAGATGGAAAAGTGTATTTCTTGATTGGTTGAAAGAAGATGGAGCTATTCATTTGACAAAAGCGAGCTTTCTTTACGTCACTTTCACCCATCTTCCGTATTCCGTGTGCCTGGGGAAGTGAGTGGTGACACAGAACTGCGTTTTCAACTTGCTCTTCATTCCTACGTGATATTGGAATGAATGCCTACGCAGATCCCGCAACGCTGTATTAGTAGCTACACAGTGAAAGACACAATAAAGTAGCTATACCCTACCCCTTTCACCCAAGAACATCAACATCGTAGTGGAAAAACCCTGCTCTTTGTATTTATTACCTCTGTCACACCCAGAGTCTACTTACCACTCCTCCGCAACTCAAAATATTCTAAAACTTGCACTTAAGCATGGAAATACCCGAAAAACAAGATAAGATGACTGGGGCGGATACCATGTACGTTTGAACGTTGAAGTCATCATGATAGACCCCCATACTGACTACATCAATAGCACACAACGTAACCAGCTCGAGTCACCACTCCTGGGGCTGCCAGTCGAAATCCGCAACAAGATCTACGACTACGTCTTCTCGGTCGGCAGCGTCCACTTCGGTCTCTCACTTCATCACTATCGCACGAGCGAGACAGACTATGAGCCGCAAGGATGTGAGCCCACTAATCTACTAGACGTCGCGTCTAGCTGCCGCCAAATCCACTCAGATACCTCTACGCTACTGTTCAAAAACAACGTAATCATTTTGGATGACCAAAAGCTTTTCAAAATGGTTGACCAGCTCGAGCCGCACCAGCTCGAAGCGATCAAGGCTCTAGAGATAGTCTTCTATGACCAACAGGGGTACTTTCCGAACTGGGTTTCGGTGAGCAGAACGCTCGCCAAGCAGTTCAAAAGCCTCCCGGGGCTCGACAGAGTAAGCATTAGGTTCATCTGTTGGCTCCAGGATGATGAGATACTCGAGCGCGAGTGCGAAGAACTTTGCGAAGCGATTAGGAACAGCACTCGTCGTAAGCCCATTCAAGTCACATGTGCGTCAAGGCATGAAGACAATGATGAGGGGAAAACGGTACTGGATGAAGAAGAGACAACGCCTGGCGAAGAAGCTGAGCCTGGTGACGAAAAGCTTGGAGATGATGACGATGGGTCTCCATCTACAAGAAACAAGTCATCGGACACCAAGACTGCCACGGAAGAGGACAACCCTATGGAGAAGTAACACCATCCTACCTGCAGCTGTTCTCGATGAACGTCTCGCAGAGTGCAACCTTACAGGCTGCTCTGATATCGATAGCAACACAAGTATCATAAGAATAACTGCCTGTATTGAGTCTATAAATGCCTTCGTAGCTAACAGACCAGCAATCCTGATACATTATAGGTACTTTCAACAGCACCGACTATCTTCTCACTTTCCATGGAGTCGTAACCACGACCCCAAGACTTCCTAAATTTCAGACCGAGCCCAACGCCAAACCAGCGCCATGCCGAGTGATATCAATATGCAAACTGTCGTAGTGGAAAGGAATGAAAACGCCCGCAATACCTGCAAATTCGTGTTCGCTAAATGCTATGCATGTCATGTCGTCACCATGATCGTGAATACTCAGACGCGGATTCCCGCCCCAGAACCCCATCGTAGCTTCCGCAGGCCGAGGCCAGTGCCCTTCATGCCTGCAGCAGCTTCCTTACCGCAGCGTCCGGCCTCGGAACCTGCGGTGCCAATCTGACCCATCGCCTCGGCGTGGCCAGTCTCTTTGCCAACGACATAGCCAGCTGAGAAGCCGATGGCGCTGACCAGGACTACGACGCCAGCGCTGACGACCCAGGTAAGTAGCGTAGGGCTAATTTCCTCAATCATCGGGGTTGTCTTGCGTGCCTTTTTGACGGTACGGCGGTCTTTGCTGCTGCTGCGAGCACCGGCTACCGGCGGACTTGCTTTGCGCTTGGACTTCTCAGAAGGGCTGCTACTGGTGCTGCATGGAGATGATGCGGTCTCTTCGGATATGTTGCCCAAGGCTACAGACTCGGGAACCATACGGAGGGAGGATGGGTCGACCCGGGTGGATGAGGGAGTGTTTGCGCGCGGTTGGCCTGGCTTCGGGAGGCCACGCACAGCGGCGGCAGCGGAGAGTAACGTGGATAGGCTGGCGCGGAGGGCTTCGTCGTGGTCGGGTTGGTAGTTGGGTGCCATGGCGTTGTAAGGGTGGTGCTGAGGGTAGGAGTGCTGTCGCTGTCCAGCTGGCCTTGCGTTCCTGCGAGGTGTGTACAGGGTGCCAGACTGCGACCGGATAGCTTGTTGGTTGTTCGGGTGCGAGAAGGCGTTTGGCCGTGGCTGGAACTCTCGCCTCGAGGAACGTGGGTAGTTGACCGCCGTCGCATTCTCATCGTCATCATCCTCCCTCTCAGACATGGTCTCCGAAGACGCGACGGACTGCGGAGTTTGCCTCGAAGGTGACGGAGCGATGGCCTCGTTCGAAGATGTCATAACCCTATCCGACTCGCTTTCGCTCTCCTCATACTCCTCCTGACTACTGTTCCCTCCCGCTGTGATCCGGTGCCCAGTCCCTATGGAGAACTGACCACCGCCCCGTGAGCGTCTGTTGGGCCGCCTGTGCGCGTTGGAGTCGTGCTGCACCGTGAGTCCCGTTGTGATGATCTCGTCGGTCGCAGAGGATAGGGAGGTGGACGAAGGCGCTGATGCGAGATCAATCCATGACTCTGTGTAAGATGTGTCAGCTGTCGTTCAACGTACAGATACAGTGAAGTATGGAAAGAGAAAGAGAAAGGACCATACCCTCTGAGCGTTGCCTTGAGGACGCAGCGACATGTCGAGAAGGAGGCATGGCTTGGTCCTGGTGGCTCGCGTCGTCGGCCCCTATGTTCTGTCTGCCTGCTCGCGGTGGACGGTGATCGTGCATCGCACCCTAACCTTCACAAGTCCGAGCCTTGATAAAGGTTCAGCGATAGTCCTTATATCCCGAGCCCTAGGTTGACCGGTGGTGTGGAGGTATGCGCTCAAGTGGATCCCAAGGGCCGTTCCGACTTCGGTTCTTTGTTAGGACTGGGAACGCTACAGCTTGTTGATTAAAGCAAGAAAGACCAGCGCAGCTCTGAAACAGCTTATCGGGGCCCAGAAACAAGGCACGGCACTCAGAGCCACCGAATCCTGTCGCGGCGACGCTGCGAGTCGTCGTTGGAGATAAGGCTAAGGCCGCGGACGAGCTGACGCTATGTAGACTGCCTCCCCAGCTTGCGCACGGCCAGGGTCTGGGTGTAATGACGTTTCGTGGGGAAGGGTGGGAAGCGGAGATCACGGTAATCGCGTTGGGCGGGGCGCGAAGGAATACGACCGAAAGCGAACGTAGCAAGCGGAAGGAGACAAGTTGATGTAAGAAGAGATATCGCAAGGTCGAGGTTGGAGTACGTAGACCGCTGCTCGTTCCTGATCCCGTGTCCCGTCTGGTCGTTGGCGTATGACCATTGGTAGTAGGTGTGGGTGACGGACGAATCAGACGTCGCTCACTCCCCTTCCTATCCAAGCCTGGCGAATCTAGACGTGCTCACCTGCCTTTATCCAGGACATGCGCATGTATCTTCTGAGCGCATTTGCCTTGTGGTCTGCGGTGTGCAAGACATGGTCGCGTAGTCGCGTAGCCTCATCTCTCAGTGCTACCTACGTATAACTATGCGAAAGTTTATACACATTGACCATCACTTCACCTGCCTCGATGCTTGTTTACCACACGCTATCTATCACGTCATTATCTGGGGTGTGAAGCGAGTCGATTTGCGCCACGTAGACTTTGTTCTTCTTCGACATGGACTTGACAAGGGAGGCCAGCTCTCCCGTGCATACTTGACAGGAGATTCGCGTCCTCTCATACCACATACTGTAGGTTCGCTCATCTGTATCGATTTGAAGTTCCTCTTTCCTTATTCCTCATACTGCTTCTAGAGTACGTCACGGGCTTGGTATGAACAACTGGGGAGACCTTGCAATAGAAATAGCAGTCCTACGAATAAGCTGCAAACACACTGTCCAGCTCGGTACCATTTTGCCGAAAGTCAATTTCGTATGGTACAGGTATGGAACATCGACTCCGGCCCATGCAGATATCATGCCACTGTCATACATCCTCCTCTATGCGTGCGGGTATTATGGCAAAATCGTAAGCCGAGCCGCAGGCTTAGGGAAATCCAGAATATATCGAAATGCGTTCCAGTTCATCCAGACCAGCCCCCACGTTTCGTGAAATCTCTAATTCTTTTTCTCTTCTTTCTTCTTCTCCTCCTTCTTGGTCCTACTCTTAAAAAAGTCCGAAATACCGTCCTTGAACTTCTCCCAGGGTGTGCGATTCAGGTGGTTACTGAGTTGGCGGTACTTGTACATCTCAGCCCAACAGTCGCGACCCCATTCGCAGCCAGCCATGTTGACCATAAAGTCGCGGTCTTGCTCTCGGTAGTGGATATCGGGGTTGTCGCCATTCTCACCGCATGCGCCGGGTGGGAAACTCATAATCTGGCGTTGCTGGATAAAGGCGACGTGAGGCCTGATCCAGGGCTGGTTCTGGTACATGTACTCGAAAGCGTCTTGCTCTTTATGCTCCCACTCCATGTGCTTTTGTTCGTAACCGACAGGGTCCCACCAGATGTCAAGCAGTCTGTCGGTCCATGCGCTTCTTCGCACCATGAAAGAGCCCAAATTGAAACCGCCACAGTCTTGGGGTAAGAGCATGTTGACAGAATCGACCTTGCCGTCTCCCACTGGCGAGCGTGTTTCTGGGTCGAGGTATTCGTCGGTCAGCGGATGAGTGATGTTGAGGGGATTATAAACGTTGATGTCGCGGTAAGTCACGTCTTGTAGCTGCTTGAAGACATGCTTCTGGAGGGAGTAGGTCGGCTCCATAATGAACGTGTTCGTATCAAGCCACCAAAACCTGCGACATGTTAGCCTGGGTGACTTCATCTCCATACAGCACGTACCATTCAGCATGCGGGTACTTGCGCATAGCGTTGCGAATCGTGTCAACCTTTTCCCAACTTTCTCTCCACTCGTGCGCATAACGCTTCTTAGTGCTCATGTCTACGATTTCCAATTCGTAGCCCCAATTTCTTGTGTATTTCTTCTTGTTCTTGACGCTGTCGCGTTCGATGGCCCACTCGCGGGGACCCTTCCATTCCATAACACCTCCACCTTGGTTCGCTGCGAGTATAACGACGTATTTGCTGCCGCCGCCGAACCATGCGGACCGTCTGTACATACGACGGATGGCTAGAGCTGTCAATGCCAATTTCCAGAGGAGGGGCTTGGATGGGGTAATGACTTACGTGTGTTTGAATTGTAGAAGATGAAGAAGAATACTACGAATAGTACCAACGCGACCCGTTTCCGCAGACGCCATATTGTCCAGGCTATGCCATTCAAAGCCCGCATTACTTTGTTTTGCGACCGCCCACGACCTAGTTTCTCCTTATCGCCGTGGTTGAAGGGCAAGCTTGTGGAGATCCTGCGAAAGTGCTTGCCAAAGAAGCCCTGGTTTCTCGGGGTGAAGCCGGGGTATCCTTTCACATCAGCGCTTCGCGCTTGAGCCGATGCCCAAGTGACATTGTGTGAAGAGGAGCCATTCGGGTATGGGCTCGTCCGCCCACTGTTATCGTATGGAGTGTTCAAGCCCGGGCTCGACCATCCGCCTGGCTGAGGCGAAGGCGATCTTGACATTTCGAAGGCGCCTGGCGTGCCAGGAATCGAAGGTAAGGCTTCGCCCAGCGAGCGGCCGTGAAGACCGCTGGTTGTGCCTAGCCTGCTTCGCGACTCTGCACTATCCGGAAGGCTGATATTACTGGGCGGCAATTGCCTTGCAGCAGAAGAGCGCCTCCTGCGTTGGCCACTGGACGCGGAGAAGGAGGATTGGGAAGCCAGCGTGACTTTGTCGGCGTTGGACGGGCCGGGTGGGATGGAGGAGCGACGCCGACGTGAGGTTCGTGGCGACGAGACAGTCAGCTACAGTCGCCGATGTGATTCGACGGCAGCTGCTGAAGTGTGCGGCACTACAGAGGCAGCGTGTGTGGTATTACTGAGGACAGCTGGCGGATGGTAGCCAAGTTCTCGAACGGCAGGAGCGCGGCGGTCGCACTTGAAGCGGGAAGGAGCGTCGGGGAGAACACGGTGCAACGTCCAAGGCTGTCGTCTCGTCAATGGCAATTGATATAACGAGGGACGGGAAACAGTAGAATACTACAATACGTCGGGGTATATAGCTGCTGGAAAGGAGTCTGGCGATAACCCAATCTAGGTCTTCGAGTTCGCTGCTTGGCGTGGATCCAAAAGGAGTACGCTAAATCCGCCTTGCGCGCACCTCCAGGGTTGACTTCCTTTCAAGTCACCAATCTACTCTACAGCAGCAACAGACATCTGCTCTATGGCCTTGTGTGGCTTCAATGCGTCTCGTGGAGGGCGAGAGACGCTGATAAACAGCAGCTGTAGCATCGTGTGGTGATATTAATAGTTCGTATTCGGATAGCTGCACCCACAGCGCCAGCAGGCGCGCAAGACCGACTTTAATAACAGCTGTCATGAGTTGTTGTGCGTCCAGCAATTCCGAATGAGGTGTCTGCCGTTTCCTAAATGATACTGGCACGTTGCAGAGTGTTTGCATGTGCTCCGAAAGGTTAAAAGCGAACGTGTGGTCGCAGCTTCGGCTGACCACATTGTGCACACTTAAGCCGTGGCCGCCTAACGGTAGACGTCACAGAGATATGCGCATATCACTATATGCTATACAACGTGAAAGTGTGTTCCTGGGAGCACCCATAACCGACGATGGAGTCGCATCTATTGAGTGGTAGTACACATTGGTCGGGTCCCAAGCACTTGTTCGGCTGAACATCACTGACCCAATCTCAACAAGTTCACCACGGCTACCACTGACCACGAATGGCTCATGGAATAGAGAGGACCCTTCTCAGTTACTTATAAAGGCCTCCACCAAAGAGTAGACAGGGAAATGGTCGGCGCATACAGACCGCACCGACGGCTAGCTAGCGCCATCTTGGCGGCGCCTTTCTCGTCCAACGGTTGGTGGCAGCCCTGATTGATCTGGCGCTTGAGTTACGTCGTCCTCCCACCTGACTGGCCCATCTCAACTTTCACTAGACACGACATCCAGCTATGCTTCTGGAGCGTCTCAGATTTCGCATAGTGTTGTACATTTCCAGCCCAGCGAATCCACGGCGGTTACTGAGCCTAAAGCCTGGAATCATGGCGCTCTTCATGAAGCAGATCCACATGACGGCTCCAATCACCTTTACTCTGGACCCGTTGACAACGCCTGTTGCGGCCAACACGCTTTGACTCATTCATTCGTGGCCGCCGGTGCTGCCACATTACAGGCTGGAGCAGAACTCTAGGTGGAGGAGCTATGCACTATGCGGTATGGCAGCAGTTTGCCTGGTAGGCGGCAAGGCCATCGATGGCCATGTAAAGATCTGGGGTTGCGTGTTCGCCCAAGAGCAAGAGCCTCACCATTCTCCTTTTGTTGCGCCTTTACCGTCTTCCGTACCTTTATATCACTCTCTTTAACAGTTTTTGCTGTCATTTGCTTTATGCCGTTTTCCTCGTTTTCTTTTTCCGTCGTCACGTAATAGATTTCGGGCCCCGCGACACACCTCCACAATACCATCAACAATAGCACAGCCACATCACTGTTTCGGCTTCGCAATCAGTTCGACGCCGACATAAGCCATTGTTGGTACCACATTCCTTTAGTATCGAGTACCCGCCGACGGAAGACCCCGACGGATAACACCAATGATGAGCTCGACGAGGAGAGACGTATACGGCCAGCAGCCATCCCTCAAGCCATCATCGAGGTCGACATTCAATACCGCACACCAAACAGACAGCGAGGCTTACGCATACGACTCACATGTGGATCGAGAAGAACAAATATCGGTGCACTTCAACGATGAGTTTGACGGAAGCGCAAACCTAGACAGGTCAACATGGGACACCGAGCCCCATGTTGAGTCTCAACGAAGAACGTCAAGGCACAACTCGCGCTCATTCGCAGGACGCGTTTCAAGGCAGAAGAGTCGGCGGCGAGAGCTTCTGGGAAGACCAGCGAAACCTGGAATCACCGTCGATACGAGCTTTACAAGACATAGAGGCACCGAACCCCACCAGGTCTTCCCCCAAGGTGGTGAGAGAGGAAGCGGGTCCGTTCGCAGGTCGCCATGGTTTGGCTTAGGACGATCTTCCACCAGGAATAAGGGTTTGGGTATCACCAAGGGTACACCTCAACCGGACAGTACACATCGGAAGAAGCCCAGCGTGGACCGAAACGATCTAGACACAGCCATCTCCATGACGCCGGGCGGCAAGTCCTGGCAGGAAATATCACCTTGGGATCGACGTATCCCAATCGGAATATCGGTGCCCACCGACAGCATTTCCGACTTCAGCACGCTGCAAGCCAACCGACCACGCGCTGGCAGTGACGCTACTCTTGTAACACCAAGTATTATTATCACCCCCGCAGCAGTGAAGTCTGTTTGGTCTCCAGACACGCCCTTTACAGAATCCGATTACACGCCGAGCATTTACTCACGATACCAATCAACATTTGCGAGCTCGAACGTTCCTCCAGTCCCAGCTCTGCCTGCTGGTATGTCGCAGGCACCAGGTCCTGGTGCATCCAGAGACACACAAGGAGCGAATGGTCACGCCAGGAACGACACATTGGATTCAGCGGGCACTGCTTTTGAAGAAGAGGACGATGACTCTAAAAGGAAGGATCGTATCATGTCTACCAGTACCGTCTTCGAAGAGGACGAGACACCTCTTAGAGAAAGAAACGTAGAGAACTCTCTGGCTATTGACACTTCTATGGTGCCCACTCCACGGAGATCACAAGGTTGGTGGAATGTCATCACGACGCCATTTGTTATGACACCAAAATCCTCAACCTGGACTGAACGTGGTGGGGACCGAACACCAGACGTGCCGATGGTTCCTTTCCAATATGGTACCCGAAAGGCAGACGGATCAGACCCACTCCCAAACACATCCAACACCACAGCGGCCACAGGATCCCGCGTTCCAGTGGAGCAAGAATCGGAGAAAGCCGCAGCCTACTCGTCGCAGGAACCACCCTCTGATCCTCATCGCGGTGTTACGTCGCCACTTTCTACTATGTCGGCCTCGCCAGTCGTTGGTACAGCCGCCATCGGAACAGTCTTGATGCCCCGTCAGGTCGAGGAGCCACGACAACAGATCAACGTCAATATTGAGTTGCAAGATAGGCGACCGATGCCGGACAATTATACCGTTCGAGCTAATTACCCGCCACCTGCACAGAACTTGCACACGTCAGCGCCAGCACAACATGTGAAGAGTGGATCGTCTACGTCCGCAAATGCCAACAACTCACAGCAGAGCTTGCCGGTATTCGCGCCGCCGCCCAAGTTCGCCCAGAAGGGCTCACACTGGAGTTACGATAACGTCAGTCGTTCCAGCTCTCAAGCGTCTTCCCCCGATCTCAAATCACGAAAGAAGCACCGTAAAGTCTGCAACATGATAAGCCTTTGGCCGTTCGGGAAGAAGGAAAACCAGAAGAACCAGGATGGCACAAAGGAGAAGAAAAAGAAGCGAGGCATCTGCTTCTGGGGCTGCTGCTGTTGTCTAATCTTCCTCATACTATTGGCGATCATCATCCCTCTAATCGTGGTCCTCCTCAGGAAGGGCAACGAAGACAAGCCCACGGCAACTCAGCCAAGCGCAGATGTCGGCAACCAGTGGCTCAACCTGACCGACTACCCACCCATACCAACTGGAATTTTGACTGTTGCGCAACCCGAAGCTGTGGAGGAGGAGAGCGGTTGCGTCGCGCCTACAACGTTATGGAGCTGTGCACTCCCGAAAGAGCTTCAACAGTCCGTTGAGCCCAACAAGCCCGACCAACCGAACTTCAAGATCGAAATCACCTTTGAGAACGGTAGTGCGGCCGAGTTGCCAAAGTCTCAACGAGCAAAGAGGGCGGCAAATGCTGTCTCAGCTGGTGCTTTCATTCGGTCGCTGCTGCATGCGCGTGCTGCACCTTCGCCATCTCCCGCGCCTCCATCGACTGATGACATGAGTTTTCTGGGACAGACCACTGACGGTAATTCTGCGCCCTTTGAGGGCGAGGAGACTGGCCTGTTCATCAGCATGCAAGATCCTACTGCCAGCGCATCGCGACTGACGAGGCGTGCTGATGCGAATGATCCGACAAACATCACCGCAGCGATTCCACCGCCGATGTTAGCATCTGATGGAACTGCCGCTCCTGCGAATTTACTGCCATTCCCATCTGCACAGCCTCTACGACTGTACAACCGCGGAAAGGACAATGAGCACTACGGCTTCTACAATTACTTCGATCGCTCCATCTTCTTGAAGCAGATCAACGGCACCAACCGTGGCGGCAATCCTGCGGACGTTGACGGAGGGAGTACAAAGGACGCCGCGAAACTGAAGTGTACGTACTCGCAGACACGCTTTCTGGTACAGATCTGGACACGCAGCAAAGAAAGCAAGCCACTGTTACAGAATTCGGCTTCAGGCGCATCAGACGTGTTTAAGCGGCCAGGCACCTTCCCTTACCCAGTCACTGTCACTATCGACCGTCACGGCGGCGACCCATCGAAAAAGAACCTATACTGCTACGAGATGGAGGACGACGGCTCCATCAAAGACGAAGAGTCGAAAAAGTCGTTCCAGTTTGAAGACCGCGGGTTCGGAGGCAACCTTGTCAAGGGCACGCAGGGACAAGGAAGTGTCAGCGGACCCATTGACGGTGGGACTGGCGGCTGCCGATGCCAGTGGCAGAACTGGTTGAGTTAAGGGTCCACTCGGGACGGCCCCAGCAATGAGTTTTCCTTTGTCGAACGAACACCTCCAGGTTGATGGAACTTGCATAGCGTTTGGCTTTTGCGCATAGAGGATACCGCGCCTTCTCATGTCTCTCACTTTTGTTGGCAAAATTGTAGCCTCTCTTGCCGGCGACTGGAGTAAGCTCGATTCTAATACTTAGTACCTACCCACTGGATGGCATTCTTGTACAAAAATATCCTTAAC